GCAAAGGAAAAAAAATGTTTTATTTAATTTTTTAGGTTAACTTAGATCTGAGTATTTGCAAATGTTCAATTATATGTATGCACGATATGCGGCTATGTTTATTAAAGAAGTCGCAAAAATTTAAATTAAAATTAATTTCTTATACAATATTTATAAAAAAAAAAAAAGAAAAAAAAACTTTTCGCGAATCTTGAATTTCCTACCTTTCAACTTGAATTGTTCGTATCAATTTCTTCACCTCCATGTGAGGATACCTCTCTTTGATACCTTTCTATGATATATATATCGTAAATATATTACTTTTCTAAAATTTTAAGTGATCTAAAATGTGCAAGAGCACTCTCTACGGATTCAAATCCAAATGTTTTTATGTTTCTAATAAAATCATATCCTTATGTGTTTGTTAGGTTCTTGATTAAGAAATCGTATCCACTGTAAGTTCATATATAATCTTTAATGGCGTCGTATTACAATAACGAATTTCGGGAACGGAATCTCCGCGTTGAGGGGTCCACCATATTTATTTTATAAATAATACGTTTTTAGACAGATGCTATTATTATTATTATTATTAATCTGACCAGAGAAATACATCCCAAGACTGAAGCTTAGCGGATATGAAACTTGAATCCACTACCGCCGAGCTGTTAGTTGAGACTCTTTATCTGCTCGGTCGGTTTACTAAAAACATGGCGCATGGAGAGAGATAGGCAGATGGACGGACATAAATGCGTTGCAAATGCTTTGATAGAATGACTGTACCTCTCGGCCTTTAACGATGATTACAAAAAACCCATTTATGCGAAACGTTATTTTCCCCTTTTTAATTCCAATAATAGTGTTGCTAAAGCCTAATATGCGCTGAATAGTCGACGCATAGTAGGCGAATTAAGAACATAAAGTTAATACAAAGTAAAAAATCGATAGCGGTTCTTTTGGAAAGAGATCGGTAAGATGTGGAATTCTGCTTCTCGTAGCAGAACCTTACTTCTCAGTGGTTAGTGTGTGCAATTCTAGCCTGGAATATTTTTAACACGGGTTTCAGTAGATGACTTATTTTTTTCTCGGACGGTGCTTTCTGATGCTTATGACGACACCCGGATATGACTTCTTTTATGGGTAGCCTCAAAAGAAGAGATATTTTTTCGGGATGGAATTCGAAAATTGCTTGAAAATTGGGAAATAGTATTAGCTACGGTTGGATAATCTTTTCTGATCCAAATCAATTTCAAGGGTATTCGTCATCCTTACGTTAAAACAGTTGTTAGTTGAATATAAACAAAATCAGTCGACATTGAGCGGACAGACAATTTCAAATCCACTAAGAAAATGATTTCGAAACGATCAATGTAATAAGAAGTAAATTCATCTTAAGTTCTTCTAGAATACATACATGGTGCATCGAATGCACCAGATACCATCGTATATACAGCTATAGAGCATAATATACACAAATAATTGAATTCAAAGACATCAGCCACGCGACCGATTTATTTAACCATCACCCTGAGAACATATAACAAACTTATGTTATTATAATCAGAATTCGTTGTACTGCGACAGTGAAGGTACTGACGGACGAATTTATGTTTCATTTGAAAGAATTCATATATTCGTACGATGTTTCTCTTTCGATCTACGCAGGTAGATGTCTTTTTTACGCGCGGCTGAATATGTTACGTAAAAAGTTCTTTGGGCTATCGGAATCCTTCCGAGATAAAATTAATTTTTCCACTGAAATGTGATTTTTAGCTAAACGTTGGCTTTATTTATAATGTTAATGTTGTGAATCTCTTCGCCAATCGCCAGCTGTTTCGAAAGGTAAAGCAACATGAACGTGTAGTTGGTTTTACCATTTATTGAGTATTTCATATCTTAGAATTTAGAATTTCTTACTTATTTACTAAATCAAATAAAAACGAAGACAATGCTTTTTGGCAAAGGTGAATATCATCTCCCTGGAGTCAATGTTTCTAATGGCAAGAATAGAATAGCCATTGCATGTTGATCATTGTGCAATGAGAACCAAAGGTCTCGGTCAGGTTCGTTTTGGTCCCACAGTATAGCCTAAGTTATTATTTCTTTATACGTTGTAGTCTTGTTATATCGTAATTGGGTTATTTCTTTGATATCGTAAATTTAGAGTTACCCAATTATATATGAGCTTATCGAATGTAAGATGACTGCATACTCGGTGGGTTATCATATTTGAAGACATATCAGTTGATTTCGAATATAATTCCACGTCGACTGTGACGAACAGATTTCGAGGGAATGACAAGAAAACTTTCTCTTTCTTTCTTTCTGGTTCTTTCGTCATGCTGAACACTTGAAAGTTTTTGATGTGCTGTAGTCCGGTGGAACACCAGCACCCTTAGGGATTAGTATTTTGGTCCGAACAAAACGAACTAACCACGACATTAGACTGCAGAGACGAACGGTTTAGCTATAACTGACCTACGGCAGATGCTGCGCTATTTCTATTTGCTTGACATAGTATTGTAAGGAAGATGCGAGATCCAAAGTAGATTTGCGAGTAACTTAAGTGAGTCTAAATAAATAGCTTGTAAGAATTTTCTTTTCTAGTATTTAATTTTGTAAATATTACGCCATTGTTAGACTATTAAATTTGAAACGAATATCGGCACTTATTTTTCCAGTTGACATACATTTCGCAGGAAACCGTTTATAGTTACAAAGATGGGGTAAGTTTTCGAATGACAATTTATTGTTAAATGAAGGAGGAAACCTTATCAAATTTTTACTCTTTATAGTAACTTTAACCATTTTTTTGTCTCATGTCGTGGCTTACAACTTTTCCTTAGTGTTATTAAATATGATCTGTCATCTCAGCTAAGTTCGAAGTTTTTCTTTACTTATGCTACTAGAAATTCGCAGCTTATTATTATTATTCCTAGAATAAGATGCAGTTGTTTTTAATAATCTTTGATTGTTCGAATTGCTTGCTGTTGGAATTAATTAGCATTTGCCTTTCGCATGTTCCTAGATTCGAATAATGAGTTTCATTTGTAGGGCACTGTAACTTGTTTTTATTTGCAATCTGCAGCTTAACAGAATATGTAAACGTACACTTTGTCTTGTTATTTTTAAACGTTGCCAGTTCTTATATGCATCCTTGTTTATTTATACAAAACAATAATAAAAAATATCGCTAAGCTTAAATGTTGCTTTGAAGTGTTTGTTTTCGAATAGTTTTTCTCAGTTTGATCTCTTTCTACGTGGCTGAGGAGTCAATTTGTAATATTTTTCCTTTCATATTATATTTATTTTATAATTTGTATTATAATTTTACTTATATATATATATATATAATATTCAGGAATTCGCTTTTGTTATATACGATGCATGTTTATTGGCCTAAGGAAAGGCTTTTTATATATTTTTATTTTTAATTTTATATTTAGCCTTTACTCTCTTACTACTAACCGCAATAAGAAATTTCCTACAAATAAGTTCTAAACTAGCACTCATCCCAAAAATATGCTATAAAAATGCACGCAGAACGCTTAGGAAATATATAAAGAAATGTATTTGTCATATATATATATAACATTTGTCATGTGCGTATATGTCTACAAATATGTATATGTATATTTATATATGATTATATATATATATATATATATATGCATTTACATGTGTGGTCCTTGGAATAATTGCGGTGAATTTTTGCATCCGTCACCTCGAGAATGAAAAACAATGTAATAAATTTATCTGTTGGGTATCTATGAAAAGAGGCGAAATGCTTTTGCACAGAGTACAAACTTAATTCACATATTATTCATAATGTATATGTAAGAAATCCATGCATATTTGTATTAATGTAATTACTTTTCGGTCGAAAGAGAAGACGAAATCTTTATCTTTTGTGTCCGATAAACATACACGTCTAGATCGCATTTGAAGCATCAATGCGAACTCTTAATAAATAATACATACATAATGGAAGGTTTTATGTATGTTTCACATTGACTGATAAAGTTAATATACCTTACGAGCGTTGATTCAATGAAACAACGTGTCACATAAATCTTAATGAAAATAAATAAAATGCACATAAAATTATCTATGTTTGCACACATGTGTATGTATGGCAATAATAGCAATAGCAATGGTAACAAAAATTTATTTACTGTAACTTTTATACGCATTACTGATTCTCTAAATTTTTAAACATAAATTACATTAATAGCTGTTAGTGCATATTTAATGACTGAATAAATGATAAAAATGTTGGCACATGATTTGCTATCATGGGTGGATGATGACCCTCACGACGAACTTTATTTGTTTTTCGCTTATGTCAGCCCTCCATGCTTACGTATTGTTATCTACACAAATTATTTGTTTTTTTTTTTGTGTTTTTTTGTGTTTTTTTTTTTCTTAAAACGAACTTGTTACAAAACGCGTAATAATCATTTCTTTTAGTTGTCTTGAAAGAATGCATCGTTTATTTTGAAGCCTGTCAAATTTATTGATTACATTATAATCACTAATCGGTTAAGTCTCTTCAGCAGCGCGCGTACAATGTGTTTCAGAACCAAGAAAAAAAAAAAAAAGAAAAACAAAAAGGAAAAGAAAGGAAAACAATTCCATTTAGCCGCTAACAAATTGCACGTACAATGCACGCGTCGAAACCTGGACGGGCAGTTGGCTACCGCAGCTAATTTAGTTAGCAGTAATTGTAGCAGATTGCAATAAAAGACTCAGTAGATATTCTATGCTCGTTGCAGTTGTTCTTGCTTTTTTCATGGGTTCATGGTAGTCGTTTTTTTTTTTTTTTTTTTTGGTTTCGCCAACGATATATGAAAGTGCGAGCGAGTGCTATGACTGTCGTAGATGGCACGAATTCTTGAAACAAAATGTAATCATTGAAACATTGTTTTGCTTTTAAAATATTGCAATTTGGTGTTGTTTTTGCCAATATTCCCAGCTGTCGTACAATTGTAAATTAAAAAAAAAAAAAAAAACAAAATTTATAAAGAAAACTAAATGAATAAATAAAAGAGAAAACATTAGCAAACTGATCACATTTAAGGCAATTATTTTTGCTTTGCATCGTCCGAACTGGTGAGATGTTTCATTTAGATGAATAGTAAGCTATTTGCATTAGCTCTTTGTTTGGAGACTCGGGTGCCAATGAATCAACTTTCGAGGTTAAACTGATTTAGTCGGCCTTCTAATTGTCTTTCTATTTGCAAATGAATGCTCTCCAAAAAAAATTAGTGTATATAACATATATTTATCTCCAGCTTACGTGTATAGCTCATGCACTTAAATAAAGAAATGAAACTGACAAGTCCGCCTTCAACTAATTGGATCTGATGCGTTTTTAATTATTATTTCGTCGTAAAGTTTTATCTTATTTGCTTTCGTTCATCAAAAATAAGTTTTTTTTTTTTTTTTTTTTTTTTTTTTTTTACATATCTGTAATTTAAATAAATTGGTTTTTTTTTAAGTTTTTTTTTTTTTTTTAAATAAGCTTTTATATAAGAGAAAGAGATGGCGGTAAAATAATTACATCTCAGCCACTTTTATATGATTATAGGAAATGGAATTGAGTTCTTATGCATTGAAATCTTAAAATTTTATTTAATTTTTAGTCTCTTGCAATACGCTTACTATTTTCGAAGCCTTGTCTTTCAACATCCACGGTCATACTTAATTTAGATTTAACATGCTTCGCTTGTTATCGCTACTACCTTCACATTAAAGCAATTGGTAAGAGAAAGATAGTCCGCTAACTTGTGGTGGGCGCCATTTAATGAGCACAACTGGATTTATCTATTTGTAAAAAGCTTTACTCCTTTGATTTCTCTAAGTATTTCATTATTACAAGATTTCATTGCAATTAGCTTCGTACAATCCATTTTCACTGGACTTCATGCGACCAGCTGAAAACATCTTAGGTCATTACATCTTGTGAACTATAGCGACTCAAAAAAGTATAAATGATTTTCTGTTTGCTGTTGTTGTTTTGTTAATCTTCCCAAATTAATAATCGCCAGCTGTATAGGGCGCACTTGATTTTCCCAACTTTTCGTTGTGGCGGACATCATTTCGAATATGGAAAAGAATTTTTATTTCAAATTGTTTTACGATCGTAACTGAAGGTGTGAGCAAAATTCAAGCATGACAACCGGACAACCGAAAGTGCCCGAAATATCCATTTACAATTTGCTCGCTTTTAATTTTCTTCCAATTTAAAAGCTAGGTCTAGCTTCTAGTCCTTCTCGATATCCTATATAAATTCGCATAAACTCGATACACCGTCGTACCACAAGTGGTGCAGGGTATAAATGTTCTAATAATACTAAGAGTTTATTCATAAGTTTAAGAGTTTATTCATATCATTTAAGATTTATTTCTTCGAGTTAATCGAATTCGACTACTCATTTGTTTGTGCTAAGTTTCATGTGCAAATATTACAATAAATACAATAAAAAAAAAAAAAAAAATCAATTTTACAGATAGATAAAAGTCATATCATTAGAAGAGTTGAGTTGAGGGAGATATTCGCAAATACTTTATAGTTTTTCATTAGAGATGATATTACAAAGAGTATATTTACTTGTACACTTATGCACACTGTCTGCATAATTGCTTGTCATTATTTATGTTAATTTGTTAACACAATTTGAAATGAAGAGGCGTAGAATGTTTTTAAATCGTTAAGTTGACATTGTTTTCCATTTAAATTAAATTTCTTTTTAGCTTTAAATCTCATGAACAAAGTTAATTTGCACGAACTTGCATACATTATTATGATGTTCAGTCATTTTTTCATGCAGATATATCTCCTCATTGTTATTATTGTTTGTTTGTTTGTTTGTTTGTTTTTTTTTTTTTTTTTGCTCCTTTTTTTTTTTTTTCTACTTGTTTTTAAAGAATTTAAAATATATAATATTTCTTCTTATTAAATTACGTGCTCTTGTCAGAAGAATAAACAACATGTTCTTTATATCAAAATCTTTTTCTTTGTAATGTTAGACAATATTTTGTGCATATGTATGTGTACCGTGAACACATGCATATGCGCTTTTGCTAACATAATGCAGTACTTTTTACTATTTATTTTTTTCTTTGCCTTTTTTTTTTTTTTTGTTTTCTTGTGCCATTCTCTTCATTTTGACATATTACCTATTAATATACAAAAAAAAAGTTTTGTCTTTTTTTGTTTTTCTTTTAAAATCTGTAGTAGACTAACCGGAATATTGAAGGTACATTAAGTTAATCGATGCTTACGCAACGATAAGACGACATCACAGCGCTATCGCTAGTCACAAGGAATTTTGTTATTTTTGTGACCTCTAACCACTTTGTTTTACAGAGTATTGTTGCGATTACTACTTTGGAATAATAAATTTGATATAGAATCACAAAATCTAAGAGATTCAGTTGTCGGTTTCTAACTTCAAAAGAATTTAATAAATATCTTCGGCATGTGTCATTTCAAGAACACTGATCTCGCGATTATTTCAACGTTTTTCTAGCGATAATTGGTAAGGTAAGGCATTGTTTTTAGGGACTAAATCGCAAATGTCATCTGACCTAGTTTTGATGCTTTTGAGGCTATCGTAAAGTAAAAGCCCAGGGGTCTTTTGTGTCTTAAAGGAAGTACGATGACGATAATATATATGTCTGTGAAATTTTTTTTGCAAAAAGTGATAAAGACATTACTGGTATTAGTGCTCAACCAGAGAAAGAAATTGCTGTCATTAGTGTTTAACTTTTATTGGATCACGAGTTTCTATAACGAATCATACCACGCTGTGTCTCTCAGACTCACAGAAACGAATCTCTTATTTTTCTCATTCAATCCAAAATTTAGCACGGCTATGTGTTAAGGCATTATGTATACGATTTTAAAACAGTAAGCATGGAATCATATTTGATAATCTCCTTATAAGCTATGAACGGAATTAACGTTCAATTAATGTTATTTAAAACAAAAAAGGAAATCTTCAAAAGATAAGAACAAATTTATTTGTTGATGCAAGTTATTGCATACATTTCTGTGCATTTCATAGTTCATATTGACATCATGACTGTTGTGAGTTCAAATTTTACAAACATTAAACATCGTTTAAGGTTAAATTAAAAAAAAAAGGGTTGTAAGTGCTATATGAGAAAAGTCAAAAAATATTTATATTCGTGTTCCGATTAGGGTTAATAGAGCAAATATAAATCTCGTTGCCTTTCAAAATAAAGAAATATCTACTGATATTTCATTTATCCGAAAATATGATTTACAATTACAAGTTAAAAGTAAAACAATAACATTATCTTGATTTTTATTATCACATTATAAGTTTTATGCCGCTACTGTCTGTCTAATGCAGAAAAAGTTTTATTCCCTTTGTCGGAAGTAATGGTTTATACTTAGCAAAGGAAGACAAGAACCATAATTAGCTAGAGACCGTCAGGATGATGAAATGATCTCATTGCTCTAACTAACTGGATTAATAAAAATTATCCTCTTTGCTAAATTCGGCTTCTTCAAATCTCAAGGTTAAACTTAACAAGTAAAGAATGAATTACAAACTTATTAACATTTTTGAGCTATGAGGGATTTATAAGGTGACATTGCGCTGTTTAAGCTGTTTTTTCACGAAATTATATATGGCTTGCAATTATGATGACTACGAGAACTGTGTATATGATTATTATACTTTTTAATTATTTATCAATATTACAAAAATAAAATTGTTTTAATTATTATTGATAACATACATATTTTTCTGACCGATAAAAAATTGCCTGCAATTAATGAGCAATAAATAATAAATTATGTAAGCTATTATTATGTATACAATTTGTTTCTACGAAACGCTTATGCACTTTTGACATCTCATTGAAATAAATGCGGTCATGGAAAGCGATGAAAAATCGGAAAGAAATTCTTCTTCTATCAAGTGAGTCGAGGAGATTCGTTTATGCTTCTCGAACTACTTTTCAATTTTCCATTGATATAACCCATTATCGGGTAATTTTTAATGAGTAATGGCCTAATCGTATACCGATAGCGGATAAATGCAAAATATCATAATTCATTCGTAGTCAGCTTATCTTTCATCACGGAAGCTAGTTGACTGACGATAACCGTAAATCGAACTTAGGTTTGCACAAATTGTTCTATATTAACTACAAGTCGAATGGTTAGGATGTCCGTGCTTTATGACCATAACCCAGGTTCGATTTTTGGTAAAAGTAGCCGAGTAGGCAAAGGGACGCGACTAAACGCTTAACGCTATAGAAGTTCATTCAAGGAAGATGGATCCTCCAAGCACCAGTATTACGCTTTAATTGATATTTTTAAAATTGTTCAAGGTTTAATTTTAAGGCTTATAATGAAACACCAATGTATGATGATATCATATATTTAATGAAATATCTCAAAATATTTAATTAACTCATAATTGATTTTGATAAACAAAATACTTTAATTAGTTAAATAGCTTAGCTTAGGTTAGCTTAACTTATACAGTGGCAAACGTAATAATCCATTAGGAAGGAGTGATTTTGTTGTTACTTATACGCCGAGTATTTTTTTAAAGCAAAAAAAAAAAAAAAAATGCCTTAAGATAATAAATAAAAAGAAGAAATATTTTTTTTCAATTTTCATGTGTAAGAACTTTCTCTCTTACATTCTGCCTGAGGGGCTTTCAAGATTCGCATTGGGACAAACATTTCTTTTTTTTTTTTTTTTTGGTATTTTTTTCTACAATATGTCAAATGATTTATTCAAAATTTAACTGCATGAATATATGTAGATGCGTACATGTGCTCTCTATGATACGGGGCACATGTGTACACAAATGTGTTTATATGCACAGAGACGATGGTTATGATAGAGAGATAGCATCATTATCTTGGCAATACGTGATGAAAATGTTGTGTCAGCAAATGAAATTAACGAATCATAGGAAAATCATTTAATGAAAATTTATAACGCATTTTGCTTTTGCTTTTTGTTTTTATTTTTCATTTTTTCTCGCTAAACTTACTACAACAACTTTCAATATGTTAGCAAAAGCTATATATATATACATATATATATATATATATAT